TTATCGTCTGGTTCGAACAGGCAGAAACAGCAGATAAGGCAATTGCGAAAGGGCTAATGTGGAAGTATGAACTGAAAGCAACAGAGATCTTTCGTTCAGGATTCCGTGCCATGCAGTGCTTTAACTGTCAGAGATACGGCCATATTGCAAAGGTCTGCATCGCCGCCTCCAAATTCGGCCAGTGTGCCGGCGCCCACAATACTAGAGAATGCTCCGGTAAACCAGAGATAAGATGTGGCAACTGTGCAAGGCACCACCACTCATGGGACTCTAACTGTCTAGTTAGAATCTCAGCCAAAGCTAAAGCGGTCCTCAACAGGACACAAGACCCAGGTAGATTCACTGCACATGAGAAACAGCCAGAAAGTCAAGATATAGGCTGGCAGTTTGTAGGAAGCAGAAAAAGAAGAGCAGGAGGACTAGGGACACAAGTCGTCGGAGCCGATGGGGAAGTCATCGAACGCCGAGGGCCAGGAAGGCCACGAAAAGTCATCGCCCAAGTAAACCTGACCGCTACAGCAGCAAACGCTTCAAGCCTCAGGAGTATGTCGCCTTCGACAATTCAAGAGAATCCCCGGCCTGTGACACGGGAAAATGCAGTAGAGATTAGCGAAGCACCGCAGTGCACAATGAGCCAATGAAGGGCACAAATACGCTAAATATAATACAGTATAACGTCAACAGAAGCAAAAATATAGTACAACATCACTTTCTCCAAGCGTTAGATCCAACGAAGCACCATGTGGTGGCATTACAAGAACCATGGCGTCACCCAACAGAAAATACCACAGTCAAACATCCAGCTTACCACCTAGTGTTTTCAAGAGGAAACAAATGCAGATCATGCATATACGTAAGCAAACACCTCGCAGTTAGCAAGTGGAGGATGGAAAAGAGTCCCGAGGAAGCCGAGGGAGATATAAGTACCATCAGTATCCAAACCAACGGAGGTCTGGTGTACATTACTAATATATACAACCCTCCTCCCCTCTCTCATAGCAGCAAAAATCTAGGAACCCTAAAGCATCTCCCAGAAATTCTGTCGAAGAACGGTCAACATATCCTCGTAGGAGACTTCAACCTACACCATCCTAGATGGGGAGGTCAAACGGTACTCAGCCACCATAAACTTGCAGACGACTTAATCGAAATGCTAGGAAGTAAAGATATGGAGCTAGTGCTTCCCGAGGGGACAATAACTTGGAGCAAAAGGGGAAGCGAAAGTACTCTCGATCTTGTCTTCCTATCTAAAGAGCTAGAAGACACAGTTACATGCTGCCAACCTGCCGTCGAGCTGGAGGCGTCCTCTGACCACATTCCGATCCATACGCAGCTGTCAATTCAGTCGAGCCTTAAAGAAGCGATGGTTCCGTGTCGTCAATGGAAAAAAGCAAACTGGGATGAAGTCAACAAGAGACTCAATGCCGAACTACTAACACTGATAGGAAAACATAGTGACCTTAACTCTCGCCAATCCATCGATCATAGGGTGACTTTGGTCACCTCAATTATCCAGAAGGTAATAAGGGACACTATACCCAACGCCAACCCATCAAGATATGCCAAGCCGTACTGGACCAACCAATGCTCCGAGGCAGTAAAGGAAACTCGAAAGGCAAGGAGAAAGTGGAAAAAATTGGGCACCGAAGAAAGCTGGATAGAATACCAGAAGTCCACTAGTAGGAAAAAGGCCCAAATAAAAAGAGCGAAGACCATAGGATGGAGAGCAGCGGTGGTAGAGGCGACGAGAGACCCTGGAAAAATCTGGAAACTTGCCAAATGGGCGAGAAAAGATCCCGAGGAGAAACAGAGGCTACCTCAGATAGTGGATATCAAAGTTACTGACGGAAGAGTTCATACTGAAGCTCCGGAAATAGCCCGAGTCATGGCAGAACATTTCTTCCCCAAACCCGTGGTAGCAAACACATCGGAAATCGCAGCAACCATCTACCCCAAAGAGCTGGAAAATATCTCCGACACCATTACCAGTGCCGAAGTAGAAGAAATCCTAGGAAAACTGCCTAGCGATAAGGCTCCTGGTCCAGACGGGATTCCAAATCGACTCCTCAAGGAATGTAGGGCAACTCTGAGTAAATATCTCGCGGAGCTATTCAATGCTTGTCTTTCGATTGGATATCACTCAAAGGGATTCAAAGAATCGAAGACAATTATCCTTCGAAAACCACAGAAGCCTAGATACGACTCACCGAAGTCATATCGACCGATAGCGCTTCTCAACACAATGGGTAAGCTTCTCGAAAAATTGGTAGCAAACCGGATCTCAAAGGCGGCCGAAGATTTTAACCTCCTCCCAGATGAGCAGATGGGAGCTCGACCCAAAAGATCTACGATATCAGCAGTTGAACTTATCACGGAGCAGATACATACTATTTGGGGAAGAAATAAAAGCCAGGTCGCTTCCCTTCTCAGCCTTGATATATCAGGAGCCTTTGACAATGTCTCCCACGAAAGGCTAATTCACAATCTGAGAGTGAAAGGTATTCCAGGGTGGATCAGTAGATTTGTACAATCATTCCTAGAAGAGAGAACCACCTCGGTAGTCCTCGGTACTTACAGAGGAAATCAGATCCCCACCAGCACAGGAATACCTCAAGGGTCTTCTTTATCACCGATTCTTTTCCTGTTCTTTGTTAGCACACTCCTTCCAATACTACAAACCCCGTCTTCTTCTGCTGTGAGGTTTGTAGACGATACTAACATACTAACATGGTCAAGTACCACCGAAGAGAACTGCAGAAAGTTAGAAGAACAGCACGGGATATGCGAGGCGTGGGCAGAAAAGAACGGTGTGAAGTTTGCGCCAGAGAAGTACCAGCTCATGCACTTCACAAGAGCAAGGAAGCGACACAATTTAGAAGCAACTGTCAACATACGAGGACATCTGACGTCTCCACAGTCCTCCCTCAGAGTCCTCGGAATCTACTTCGACCCCAAGCTTCAATGGGGCTCCCACATAAAGCATATTGTACAAAAGTCACACACCCAAGTACAGGCGATAAGTAGATTAACGCAATCAACTTGGGGTGCAACATTCAAGAAATCAAAGCTTTTGTACAGCGCAATTGTGAGACCAGCTCTGACTTACGGGTGTCCAATATGGGCTGCGGCTGGGCCAACAGGTAGAATACCAGAAAGGATAGTCAAACCATTGCGAAGTATCCAACGAAAATGCTTGAAGCTAGTCACAGGGGCATATAATTCCACCAGCAGTAGGGCTCTAAACCACGAATGCTCAATCCTTCCACTTGACATCTACCTCAAACAAATGAGAGTTCAACATATCGGACTTTCGGAAAGATAACCCATCAAGCAGACGGTTCTATCCGCATGTAGTAAAATATCACAGGCTTATAGCCTGAGCGAAAATAGCCACGCAAAAAATCGAAGCCGAGACACTAGCGAGTGGAATAAAATCTGCGGGAACGAAAAAGTGAGGCGTAGACAAAAAGAAGCGGGCAAGATAGGAGCGTTCCAGGACTGGGAAACCGCATGGAATACTTTTAAGGAAGAACGACTATCTTCTCATCAGGCGTCAGCAGACCCAGAACTTTGGACAGCAGCAAGTATAAGCACCGACAAGAAAACAGGTAGAAAAAGAATCACCTACAGAAACACACCCTCTAACATTCACCGAAACCTGAGCAGGGCCCAAAGTAGTATTGCAATACAAATAAGAAGTGAGCATATCGGCCTCAACTCTTATCTTTATAGAAGAAAGGTCCCTGGAGTGGCAAATCCAAAGTGCCAGTGTGGATATCCGTCACAAAACGTGAAACATATGGTCATGGCTTGTCCTCAGTGGGCTAAGGGAAGAGGAGAGGTGCTGCAACGGGCAAAAGATAGGTCTTTCGAAGCTATGATGAACAGCCCGGAAGACATGAAGAGAATTACAGATTGGATACTAACAAACGGCTGGCTTGAACAGTTCCGGCTTGCAGAAGAAGTTGAGACAGCAGTCAGCGAAAGGATTGAGCGATCGGGAAAAGGATAGGACGATATTCACACTGGACGCACAGTGTAAGCGCACTTCCTGTAGGAAACCTCGGAAATCATATAGACACGAGACAGACAGTTGTGGGGGGTTTTTACCGAATATGGTTTCCTCCTGTGTAAATATTATAGCTAGTTATACCTGCATAGGCCCGTAGGGTACCTGAACGGGCTAAATGAAATCAAATCAAATGAAATCAAAATAATAATAATAATACTGCGAAAGTACTACTTGTGCACCAGCCACTAAATCTACCATAATACATAGCTGAGCATTACATGAGTTCAGAAATACGTTAGGGTTCGGAGCTGTGGGAGGTTGCAAGTACTCTATTCTTTTTTATCTGCGACGCGTAAGTACAGGATCACCGCCCCTCATTATCTATTGGCAAATATTAATGTTGGTAAAACACGAAGTAATACAAATTGGGTGCCGTCACGAAGTCAGCTGTCCGTCACGAAGTCGGTGAATAATCTCAATTAACTGGTATCTCGAAATACATAAAACGTTGTCTCTCTCTTCTTCTCCCTTCATCTCCCCTTCCTTCCTCTACTCCAAGCGCCTCGCTATTGAGCTAAATCAGACCCCTGTTAGTGTCCTAACAACAACCTGAATACCGCAAATACATAGAATAATTCATACTGCCAAAATATGATCCTTTTACCAACAATGAAGCACAACAATATCCAAATTTACTGTTAACTTTAAATCTATTTAGATAGTTTTAGCTGTCCTTCATAGTCATAGACTCAGTAGGGACTTAGATTCTATTCTATTCGGCAGGACCACCGCGCTACAAGTTCTAATTACATAACTAGCCCTATCTCTAGTTCCTTTGACGGTTAATTGCCTTATTGATCTGGCTTAGTTCCTCTTGATCAGGTGACTTTATTGTAAAAGAATGATTAGCTATTTGTTTGTGACGGGCACAAGCCTAGCACTTACAGAGCATTGAGGATCCTGAACTCCAAGTCGTAGCGAAAAGCCAAGTTTCACGGTAATCGAGCCGCCGAATTTTAAGGTCCCATCAAGGAAGCACCCCTCGCATTCTTTGGTCACAACCCGGGCGGCTAAGCACCCCACTGCACCCCTACTGTATTCTGATAGTATACTTTGCTACGTATTATTGATTGTTACATTATCTGGAGTATAGAGGATTTCATGTATTTAAGGAGAAGTTAGAATTTGAATTTGAAATCTTTTACGTGACAGGAAGAACCTAACATCTATTTAGACGTGACACGGGTAGATAGGCTCTGAAAGCTCGTTGCTACCTACATGACCGGCAGTGGAGCCAGAAGCGACAAGAGAAAAGAATGAAAAAAAAATGAACAGTATATGTCTGAGTTACAGTGCCCTGCGCTGCATCCCTATCTTCCACACCCATCTCCTCTCGGGTCAGAAACAATCTTAGCGTGGTCACCTCCCACCATGTTCATTCTTCGGCAGACTGTAACATCTGCTTGTAGTTAAGAATTGAATGAACTTCTGCCATACCTTCTCCCCTGTCATTTCCCTGGCTCCAGGTGGGGCCATTTTCTCATAGATTCTCCAACGTAGCAAAGCAAGTCGTATTATAATCCTAGTCCATGCTAACACAACGCAGAGACGTGCATGGTCTAGGTCATGGATCAAAATAGTTGCTGTGCCTACACAATTGAGATAAGCTACATAGTGGTTGTAGAGATCTGTTGAGGATCAGGATGTTGAGAAGTGATAGCAGTGCACGGACCAGCTTCTCATGTATTTAGACAGGTGGTCAGGCACTGCCCCCAAAAGTGTCCAAAATAGATCACATCATTTATAATCACGAGGTATGAAAATGGTAGAGAGGCAGCTTTAGGAATGTAAGATAGATTGGCTATGGAAGGAGAAATAGGAGTAACTACTGCGAGCTCTATATACATGAGGTGTGGGTGTTTGCTGAGTAATGCCAAGACTAGATTGGCATTCATGTCACGTGTAGGTGTTTCATGTTCAAGCACCTACACTGCCTTGCTCATTGCATGTTTAGAGCCCTGAGGGCGTAACTTTTATCCATCATACTTTAGCAAATAAAAATCCCTCCTAAAGTCTACATCTCAGTTCTCGTACATTATATCACAACTGACTCTAAGTCTATACCAAGAATATCTTCAGTGCTCATCATTCATAACAGGTCGGCACTCTGAAAAATGCCAGGGCCTTTTCTCTCGGCCGCAAACGCATTTCAGATCTACATGTTCGGGGTTGAAACGTCGATGGTAGTCGGCATAGTCCCCGTGGCCTGTTCTTGCCGCAATAAGACGATGGTACGCCCATCTTGGTAAAGCTAGTTCTGGTGGTCTTTTGCAGCGCATGAATAGGTCCAGATCTTTGTATCGTTTCGGTCGATACTTCTGCCACCACTCTTCCACGAGCTCTTGGCTGCGCTGTTTAATCCACCTCCCTAATGCCGCAAATGTTAGACCTTGATCTTCTAGAATGGGCGCAGCTGAGGTTAGTGACCGGTTATTGGGAGCTCCCAAGTCTGATTTGGCCAGCTTATCGGCCTCTTCATTGCCTTGAATCCCCATATGCCCGGGTATCCAGCGTATTTCCACACGCTTATTGTGTCTCAGCGATGAAAACTTATCCACCACCGACTGCGAGGAGTTAGATCTTCCTCTTTCGAGCGCCTGGGTGGCCGCTTGGTTGTCCAGAAGAACGCAGATCATTAAGTCTTCTCCTACCTCTATTGCAGCCTTCAAGGCTTTCATGGCACCTTGTCAGGATTGCCTTCTGCATAATCTATATATGTGGAGATAACCAGAATCTAGTGTTCTATGATTCTGGTCTGGCCTTTTGGCCGAGCGGTTATGCACCTATCTCATGCATAATGTAGGATGGCGCCCTTTAGCCTGAATACCACCTCTTTGACCCATGTCTCCGCCCTGCTGTCTACATGCTGCTCTGACACACCTACAACTTCTGCGTCGAATACCTCTGCTCCGGGAAGTGGACCGAAGCTACTTGCAACTAGCTTGTGTGACGGGAACCCCGAGTTGGTGATGATAATGTCGATTTAATAAACTGTATAAAGAAGAAAGAGAAATCTAGCTACAACTAACAGGTATTTATAATATTCAGCCTCTCAGTGATTGTCTTGACTGATTTCTTCACCCTAGATCAAATACTTGCCACCCAGCCACATATTATCAAGAATCACTACGCTGTGACACTGATCTGGCCCCTTGGCTGGTAGTGCCATATCTTCCAGTTTCCTCTATGATTTCCTTACAGTCTTACAACATGAATCTTCAACAATACGCTTAGGTATCCACATAAGCTCAGACAACGGCCAAACCGTGACAGGTTGCCTCCTTGGTATACTACATACCCCCAGGATGATTTTCCGGGACCCGATGATGATCCATCAGAGAAAGCGAAGACTGTGTTAGCTGGACGGGAAGCTAACCACCGCTTTATGCTTCCAGACCTAGCTTCATTTTCTCGACTACATGGAGTCGATGCTGGAGTGCCACGTGGGAAGTATAGCTTTCCGGGGACTTCGGCTGTCAGAACTCGACGCACACTCATTTGTTGGCGTATCATGTACCGTTTTGGTTGTCTGAACAAACGATCTCTTTGTCCTGATCTAAGACCTAAGCGTCTTATTGTCTCTTTCGGATCCTCTGCCGCCCGAAAGGCTAGAGGGTGCCAGATATCTATTCTTCGCATACGAGCTGCGGACCGCAGCATCTTTTGCTGAAGAATTATCGATGCCGGGGGTATTCCCGCTTCACGAAGAGCGCCATTGGGAGTGATACGCCACGCTGGGAGTGCTACTCTGATAGCTTTCATTGTCGTTTTTTCCAGTAGAGATATATGCCAGCCTACTCCAGTGCCGACTTCTTTATCTCGCAGTGTGGTTATTCGAGTGAGACCCGGCCACCACGCTTCTGCCCCATATATAGCTGTGCTCAGAACACATGCATATGCTGCACGAATCAGAGGTCCAGGTGCTGCCCCACGTTGAACTCCGTTTATTTGTTGTAAGAAATGAACTAGAAAATTAGCTTTTCCAGTCGATTCCTGTACATGTTGCTTGAAGTTTAGCTGGGTATCAAGCCAGACTGCTAGCCACCGGATATGAGGTGACGGTTCGATCCGACAATCTTTCACAAAGATGGAAAGATCAGCCGCGTTGATTTTCTTTCTAGGCCCTCCTCCGGTCACTAGAAGTTCTGACTTTGCTGGGTCATTTTCGATCCTGTGTTCTCTTGCGAGAAGGATAAGGCTGTCGAGGTCGTCTTGAGCTGCAGAGATAGCATCTGCCGCGGTGTTTCCAATTCTGAAAATAGCGACATTGTCAGCACAACCAAACCTGCTAGTTAGACCATGATCCTCAAAAAGCACAGCGATGTAGAGCATGAAAAGACGTGGCGATAGTGGCGAGCCCTGAGGTACTCCACATTCCAGTATCTTCTCTTCTGTGATTCCACTGCGGTATTTGACCTGGACTTTTTGTTGGCAAAGAAATGTCTGAATAAACCGGCACAGGGATCGTGGCCAGCCTTGTTCTCGAAGGCGTTTGAGCAGTCGGTTGTGAAGGACTGCATCAAATGCACCTTGAATGTCGAGTGTGACCATAGCCGCACACTTACCACTTCTCAAGGCCGCCTCAGCATCATGGATTACACAGGATGCAAGGTCGACTGCAGATCGTCCTGGTACGAAGCCGAATAGTTGTCGGTGAACAACTTGGTGACTTATTGTCAGCCATGCCATTCTCTTACCAACTAGACGCTCAAGTCCTTTTCCTAAACTCGACAACAGCGAGATTGGTCGCCAACCCTTGGCAGTTGACAGATTTCTACCCGGCTTTGGAAGAAGCACAACTTCTGCCACCCTGTAGGCCGTGGGAAAGTAGCGTATTTTCAGACAAGCCTGGTAAAGATCTTTCACGAGAGGTCCTAGATGGTACCAACAGGCTTTCAGTAACCGTGCCGTTATTTTGTCCGCTCCCGGTGCCGTATCGTTGCCAGATACAGTGGCGCTTGTCACATCGTCCAGTGATAATTCCGTATCCCATGGAATACGCTCCTCCTGTCAATTCTCGCCGCTAAACCTAGCCAAGAAAATATCTCGTAGCGCACTAGCTCGCTCTCGTAGTTCAGATAGCCACCGGTTTTCGTCAATCTGCAGAGGAGGGGGCTCAGCAGCTGGTCGAGGCTTAGCCCATCTCATGAGCTTGAATATCTGTGTGTCAGTAGTCACTGCCTCTACTTGCCTCTTCCAGTACTCTCGCTTGGCTTTTCGAACCACGGCTCTAAAGCTTTTGCGGGCCTCTTTCGCGAGGTCCGGGTTGTCTCTCGCTGCCTTGTACTCTTGCCATTCTGTGCGACATTCATCGGTCCACCATGGCCCAGTTCTTCCGCTTTCGATGGCGGGGACATTCCCTGCAATCTTGAGCGCATTTCCAAGTGCTTGTAGGAGATCATTTGTGAAGTTTTCGATGTTGACAACACTGTTGAGAGGGCCAGATTTGGTCCATTGGCTAACGCATCGGCTAAGTTCCTTCAAGTTGGCGTCGCTGACACGAATGTTCTTTACAATTCCAGAGAGATCTGACACTGTAGAGTTAAGCACAGTACCTTCAATGGTCGAGTGATCTGAGGTACAGTGGTAGCGGTTGGACACCGATGCTATAGCGGCCGTGTTGCTCCACGTTAGATCTAGGACGTTCCCATCCCTGTGCGTTGGCTCTCCAACAATGCTGACTAGGTCCATGTCATGGGCTGTTGCCCATTCCATAATCTGGTTACCATTGCCATACTGATTTGTTGTTAGCGGTTGCCAATGCTGTGGCAAAGAATTGAAATCGCCACCAACAACCACTAAACCTCTAACTTCCCACCGGAGTAGGGGCTCCAAGGTTCCACTAGTGCCTGGGGCACGGTATACGTTGACAAAGGTTAGGCTGCCCATCTTTACAAAACAGTAGTCAGATGTCGGGCCTGACAACGGTGGAAATAGCTGAGTCGCATGACTACATTTGGGCGTGGAAGTAATCGCGCGGGGCCGGATGTCTGTTCCTCCAAATGGTATATGGCTATTGTAGTCAGGGTGACTTTTTGTTATAAAACCCCCCTCTTTCTTTCTTGTCCATGGTTCCTGTACCATGACTACATG